TGTCCCCCTCCTGTGTACCTGTCCCCTCCTGTGTACCTGTCCCCTCCTGTGTACCTGTCCCCCTCCTGTGTACCTGTCCCCTCCTGTGTACATGTCCCCTCCTGTGTACATGTCCCCTTCTGTGTACATGTCCCCCTCTTGTGTGCCCGCCCCCTCCTGTGCACACAGCCCCCAGATCTGTGTACCCCCTCCCCCATGTACAGCCCCCTGTGGAGGGTGTGCTCAATCTCAGCGATTTTGAGCCCGCGGAACCTAAGGCAAATACGAGGGTCACGTGTTTATGTTTGAGCGCTGAGCAGGGCAGTGCCCGAGGCCGGCTCCCAGGGGCTTCCTCACGCTCTGGAGGTTGATGGTGAGGTGCGACAGGTCTCCCCGCTGCTGGGCCCAGGGCTCCTTGAAGCTACGTCCTTGCTTGGTGTTTCAGGTGGACCTGCTCCGGCAGAGCCTGGCCTCCAGGTACCCCGAGCTGGAAGTGAGGTCAGTGGATGGCTTCCAGGGCCGGGAGAAGGAGGCCGTGGTCCTGTCCTTCGTGAGATCCAACAGGAAAGGTGCGTGGCCTGTGGGGTGCCCCTCAGGGACACTGTAGCTGTGTGTGCTTATGTGGGGCGTCAGGAGGCCCTAGAGATGCTCAGTTCAGTGCTTTACCACTAGCAGGGAGGTTGGAGGATCGAACCACCCTGAGGCCTGCTTCCAAGCATTCACCTCACTGATAATCCCATACAAGGCAGGCCAGCTTGTATAGGTACGTGCATTCACATGTGTGTGTGCGTGCACAAACAGGTACAAACACACATGCACACACACTTTCTCTCTCTCTCTCTCCATGCAGAAGCTATGCGTGCAGGCCAGCATGTTGGGGTGCATGCATTCATACACACATATGCACAAGTCTCCACAGACACCACACACGGCAGGCCTGCATGGAGGGGTGTGTACACACACACACACACACACACACACACGGCAGGCCAGCATGCAGGGGTGTGTGCCTTCATGTTCACACACACACACACACATGCTTGTGCTCACACTCACCCCACCCCACAGACGCCACGCACGCTCTGACGACAGCTCATGGCAGGTCAGGGTCCCCAGGGCTGTAGGCGGCTGAGCTGGCACTGCCGGTCACCTCACTGCGGCTCTCTTCCAGGCGAGGTGGGCTTTCTGGCCGAGGACCGGCGCATTAACGTGGCCGTGACCCGGGCACGCCGCCATGTGGCCATCGTCTGTGATTCCCGCACGGTCACTAACCACACCTTCCTGAAGGCCTTGGTGGCCTACTTCACGGAACACGGCCAGGTGCGCACGGCCTTCGAGTACCTGGACGACATCGTGCCCGACAACTACTCCCACCAGAGCAGCCTGGCGGGCACCAAGGCCCGGGGCGCTGTCCCCGCCACCAAGAGGCCTGAGGGTGGCGGGCAGCAGGTGGGAGACCGGCCCAGAGCCTCCAGACCGGAGCGCAGGAAGCCAGACGCTAAGACTTCAGATCCAGCAGCTGTTTGCCAGCCTAGTGTGAACGGGGCTGGACCCGAGGCAGTGGACGCAGGGGACCGTGCAGACCACCTCAGGGCAGTGATCATGGCCTTTGTGGCCAGTGAGGAGACACGGCTGGAGTTTCCTGCCTCCTTGAACGCCCACGACAGGATGCGGGTCCATCAGATCGCAGAGGAGCTGGGGCTGCGGCATTGCAGCGCGGGGGAGGGCAAGGCCCGGCGGGTGACCGTCAGCAGGGGTGCGGACCCAGCCCTGCGGCGCAGTGACCCGACGGCCCAGTGTCCGCCCAGTCCAGGCCAGGCCGAGTGTCCCCCGAGCCTCGATAAGGCTGAGTGTCCCCAAAGCCCCAATCAGGCTGAGTGTCCCCCGAGCCCCAGGAGTGCCGAATGCCCGTCCAGCCCTGTGCAAGCCAAATGTCCTGCAGACCTGGTGAAGGCCGAGCAGGTCAGCTGTGCCCCCAGCAAGCCGAGCAGCAGCGGCAGTCGTGGTGGGGACCCCCTGGACCTGAAGGGGCTGCACCTGGAACGGCTGCAGAGGGCGGGGGGCCGGCAGGAGCAGCTGGCCAAGAAGGGGTCGTCGGGCTCCAGGACACAGAAGCCGGCGGAGAAACGCAAGAAGAAGAAGGAAGTGGCCGGTAAGCCCGCCCCGCCGCGGGGCGCTTTCTGCGTCCTGCCCGCACCGTTCAGCGGTGGTGGGGATTGGACAGTGTGGCCTCCACCTGTCTGAGTGACCCCTCTCCTCCTGGATGCCCCTCAGGGCTCACCTTGCCCACAGATGACGACTTTGACGCTCTGCTCTCTGCGGCCGTGAAGGCCGACAGTACCTGTGCCTTCATCAAGTGCAAAGCCAGTGTGGTGACCTTGGGCCAGCTCTGCCTGCACTGTGGCCGCCGCTACTGCCTCGGCCACCACCTGCCTGAGGTGCCTGGGCAGGGATGGGGTGTGGGGGTCGACTGGTGGGGAGACAGAAGAGCAGGTGGGCAGTGGGCAGCTCCGGCCTCGGCCACCACCTGCCCGAGGTGTGGGGGTGTGGGGTGCGGGGCTGTCGACTGTGGTGGCGAGGCAGGAGCCGGTGGTGGGCGGCTCCCTTGGTTCAGAGACGTCAGAGGCGGTCAGACCTGGGGCATCTGTCCTACAGGTCATGTCACTCGGATGATGTCCTCCCAGGTCCACGGGGCGCTCTGAGCCCCTCTGAAGGGGCCTTCTGGGGGGAGGTTGCCCCTCCACCCCTGCCGTGGCCCTTCTCATGGTGCCAGATGACACAGCCTCTAGGGGGTCTCGTATCCCAGTCCCCCCTCCTGACCCGCTGACCACTGTGTCCTCAGGTGCATGGCTGTGGGGAGCGGGCGCGCGTTCACGCACGGCAGAGGATCAGCCGGGAGGGGGTGCTGCACCCCGGCAGCGGGACCAAGGAGAGGGCCCTGGACCCCGCCAGGAGAGCCCAGCTGCAGAGGCGACTGGACACGAAGCTGGATGTCCTGACCAACCAGAGGAAGAGGAAAGACAAGGACAAGTGACCATGGCGCCACGTGCCTCCCTGGGGCGGCTGCGGGGTGGGGGACACGCAGGACTCATCCCAGGACCTTCACCTGCTGGAGGCACACGAGACTTGCCCATAGGGCCCCCCTCTGTGAGTGAGAGTGGACAAGGGCTGCACCCCCCCCCCCCAGGACCTGTCCCTGGAGATGGGGAGTACTCAGCCCCACCCACCAAGGTCTCTGACCACAGACGCTGGTGGGGGTCTGAGGACTGCTCCCAGCATCTTGCACTGTCCGCCTTGTCTCTGCCCCACCCCCCCAAGCCCCCCACCCCGGGCCCTGAGGTGGGGATACCCCGAGGCGGGGACCTCTGGGCACATGAACCTCAGGGGAAAGAAAGCTCTTCTGATGTCACAGACGGGAAAGCGGCCTGATTGTCACGACTCAGTGAGGGCTTGTGTCCCCTTCCACCACCTGCTGTCACCTGGACACCCCCTCTCTCCCTTCCACCACCTGTTCTCACCTGGACACCCCCTCTCTCCCTTCCACCACCCATTCTCACCTGGACACCCCCTCTCTCCCACCACCTGTTCTCACCTGAACACCCCCTCTCTCCCACCACCTGTTCTCTCCTGGACACTCCCTTCTCTGCCCCGTCCACTCCAGTCAGAAGAGAAACCGCCCCCATCTTCACCCTGGGGGTCCTCAGAGCACCCACTGGCCCGGAAGGTTCCATATCCTTCATGGCCCCAGCCCATTTTGTAGCAGTCAGTTTGTCTGCCTGTCTGTCCTGTGCTTCAGGGGGTCTCCCTCAGCACTGCAGTCGGCCAGCTCCCTGCCCCTGGGTGTGCAGCATCTCAGGTACCCCGTGTGTCTCCCTGGTTGTGGGGCCCCCAGCTCTGCACCTGCGCCCACTTGTCCACCTCTGCTCGGGTTGTGGGGAAGCCCCAGTGAGCGTCACAGAGACCCCCCCAGTGTCACACTGATGGCCCGGGCTCCTCCCTGTGTCCCCCGCCAGCACACCAGCCTCAGCACACCTCAGGGCAGTGTGGCTCAGCCTCAGGGAACTAAGTTATTTAAGAGGAAATAAAAACATATTCTGTCCGTGGAATGCTGGCTTATGAGTCTGAAGGGGGCGGTGAAAACGGGGTGCAGGCCAGGGGCGTCTGAGCCCCTCTGACTTTATGAGGCAAGAGAATCCCCATCTCCATCAGCCAAGTGCTTCCAGTGGGGTCAGACCTGCCTTCACCCCACCTCACCAGCCCATCCTCCCGTGAGCCCTGTTTCTTTGTTGGGTTCCAGAAGTCTCTGCAGGGGCCACACAGAACCCACAGGATCAGAACCCCTTGGGGCACAGGTCTAGAGGCTGGGACACTCAGCTGTGCCCACAGGCAGGCCTCTCTGGCTTGGCCTAGCTTGGCAGGTACCCCAAGCTCAGAGGCCTGAAGGCGCTTGGCTCTGTGGGTCAGTGCCTGGAGATGCCCACTCCCCAGTGAGCTGCGTGTCCACCTAGCTGCTTCCAGGTGGGGTCAGTGCAGGGCGGGGCGCACAAACCAGCGCTGGGAAGTCCTCCCTGAGAGGAGGGGACAAGACCCCCATTTGGCCTCTGTCCACCAGAGCTGAGGATTGACGTGGAAGTTCAGTGATACACAGTGAGTCATAGCTGAGCCAGTGAGGTCTGCACAAGCCTGGGGTCGGGGGGCCCTGGACAGCACCCCTGCAGGTCTGCGGAGTCTGAGGGGAAGGCTGGGGTCGGAGTGCCTCCAGATGAGAGGCTGCTCCCCAGTGGCTCCTGTGCCCCCCCTCCCATGCTCCCTCACGCCCTGCTCTGCCTCCTGGGGGCTGCCCCCCAACTCTGCTGCAGCTGGACACCCACTGGTCCTGCCCTCTGGATCTGGTTTTCAGAGGTCAAGCTCAGCACTGCGCCCCCCGGCACCTGGAACTGGGGCGTGGGCTCCCTGGGGTCACCACTGTGCTTTGGTGGCCCTGTCCCCTATGCTGCCAGGCCAGACACTGTGCTCCTGGAGAGGGCTGCCATCTGCCTGTGCTCAGAGTGCCTGGGAGGTGCCCTCGCCCCACCCAGGCCCAGCACCCCCTGCTGGCCACCCTGGCAGCTTGGGCCCAACACTTCGTCCTCCTGGGGTCGGCCGCTCCACGTGTCTGGCCTCAGTGCTTCCCTCTGTTCCCTCTGCACTCCCACCTCTTCCCTGTGCAGACAGTGCCAGGGGCTCAGCGACGGGGGTGGGGGGCAGGGGGCTCCTCTTTCTCTGCTGGTTCAAAGCCCCACCTCGTCCCGCCGTGCCCGGGTGGCCAGGCTGCATCCTGCTCCGGGGTGGACGTGCAGCTGCAGAGGTTCTCAGTGGGGTGGGGACAGCCCCTTCCCTGCCTCCTGGAGGAAGCCAGTCTGAGGGAGAGGTGACCCTCAGGGAAACTGCCCGAGGGGAGGACTCGGTGGCCTGACCCGAGCCGTGGTCCCAGTGGTCCCAGTCTCCCAGGGTCGGACAGTGACTAAGGAGATGGATGAACTGAGGTGGCTGGATTTGTTTGGGAAAGAATATTGACTCTTCCACGAGCTGCCGGAAGAACGATCTGTGTTGTAAGAAGTGCAGCCAGGTAGCTCCTCAGGCATGGACAGTGACGCTGCCAGGAGGGCTGTTCCCTGGTGAAAGGCATTATGCAGAGAAATAGAGGGTTGAAGGAGGAAGACCCTCAACACGGGGGACAGACACTGTGGCTGCAGCAATGGCTCAAGCAGCAGCGAAGCTGAGAGTGGCACTGGACCAGGCAGTGTCTGTCTGTACACAGAGATGTCCCCACAGAACCAGGATCCAGACACGCCTGATCTCCACCCTGTCCTTCCCAGTGACCCAAACAAAGCCCTTTCATGGCTGGAGAAAGACTAGGTTGTGTGCCCTGGAGCCTTCCTGTTCTCGGGTGTGTCCATGGCGGTGGCCTGTCCTGGGTCAGCCTGGCCCCAGCACTGAGACAGTGCCCTGTCCCCTGGAGAAGGAGCAGGCTTGGGACATAACCATCCACACTCGCTCTCTGTGAGCTGCTCCTGCACGAAACACCCTGAGCCCTGGCCAGGCTCCAGGGGAGGCCAGCTCTGTGTGGGCACTTGGCCGCTGCCCTGCGCCTGTGCCTTCGGCCAGCCAGCCGTGGAGGCATCGTTAAAACGCCAGGTGGGAGCCCGCCGTGCAGTTTCCACTCTCCAGCCGAGGAGGACCGACCGTGTTAGGAGAATGTGTGCAGCTGCTTGAAGAATGGCAGCGTTTGGTGGGGGTGGGGCGGTCCAGAACAGAATCGCACGCCTGACCTGTCCACCAGGGGGCAGCGTCCTGCTGCCTTCAGCCTGCAAACCTTCCAGAAGCAGACCCAGAGCTGGGGGTTCCCTCTGGGGGGCAGGCAGCCGGGAGGCTTGCTTCTCTCCTCTGAGGGCGGCAAGTTGGGGACCCTGTCATCCAGTTACTTGGGGCAGTACCGCACAGCCCTTGTCTGAGGCTTGGTTCTGGGCTCACCTCTCGGACACTGCAATCAATGTCTGTGCCTCAGTTTGCCCATCTGTAGAATGGAGAAATTCCAGGACCACCTCCCCTGCTTGTGCGTGTCCAGTGAGGTGCTGGGAACAGAGGGTGCAGGGAGCATTTGCTGCCGGTGCTATCATCCTGCAAAAATGCAGCGTAGATAAAACAACTAGAGGTATCTGCACCCTGTAGGGGTTTGCAGCTTGGGTTGGATGCTCTCCTTCCACGTGGGAGACTGGAGTTCGATGTCCGGTTGGTGCACTTCACTCAACAGCCACCACCTGTGTCTCAGCACAGACTTGTGTGTTGCTATGATGATGGATGGCTTTCAGATAGACCAGGAAGAAAGGCCTGGCAAGTGACTTCCAGCAATCATCCAGGACCCCCACCCCCCTTCCAGAGATCACAGGAGTCCAGTGTGTAAGCCATCATGGGGCTGGTGCAGGTGGGGCAGTGTCTAGTCCTGTCATGGTCACTCACTGCAAGCTGGAGGCCACTCGCATCAACAGCAGGGGTCCGGCAAGTGGCCTGTTGCTGCTGAAGGCAGAGGGGTGGGTGCCCCCAGCGCCAGAGGGCTGAAATTCCTGCAGAGGGTCGACAGCCCTGGAGTCCTGCCCTGGGCCCCCCTGTAGAGCTCACGCCTGTCCCTCAGTGGAAGCCCATGCTTCTTGTGTTTGGGGGTGGTCCCAAGAGGCGCCCAGGGGCACCCATGCTGCTCTGGGTTGCTGAGGGGAGTGCTAAGCTGGCACTTAAAAGGAATTGTGATCCATGCCAGGCACACTGCAAACGCCGCAGCCTTATTTGGTCTGGAAACTGCTTTGCTTAGAGGAAAGTTGGAGCAAGGAAGCTGTCCTCTCATGTGGACGGGCAGGAGGGGCCAGTTCTCAACCACCTCGGGACAGTTGGCCTGCTGGGGAGTCCCTGCAGTCCCTGCCCTCCCCTCCACCCCCGCCTCTGCCTCTTCCGGAGCCTTCCATCCGCCCGCGATGGACTCACAGTTCAGCTAGCCTGCCTCTGCCCTCCACTGTCCACAGACTGTTTCTCTTGTCTCCGGGTCTAATCCACACTGAGGTGCACCCATCCTAGTGCATGAGTCACTGCGTTTTCGTGAAGATTGAAGGCTGTGTGGGAGATGTGCCCCCAGTCCCTCAGATCTTCACATTAATTTGCAGCCAATCCGGGGCCCAGCCCCAAGCAACCCCAGACCTGCTTTCTGTCTTCATTTACCTTTTCCAGAAACATCAACAAAAGCACACGGCGTGTGGGCCTTGGCATCGGGCTGCTCTTAGCCTGGCACGTCTTGGCTCTTAGCACAGACCAATACTTATAATATGCTTTTTACGGCTAAATGCTGCCCCAGTGTGTGGCTCCGTGGCAGTTTGTGTGTCCATCCACGGAGGGCATCTGAGATGCCCCACCTTGTGGCTGATGTAAGCGTGCAGTTACGTTCACTGCTGTTGATGCCCTCGGGCACGAACCCGTCAGGTCCTGAGCCATCCTCACGCTCTGACACTC